CAAAGCCTGGTAAAACCTAGTGTCCCATCCTCTAGTACATAATGACGCTAACCCACTCAAAGACATATTGCAACCTCATAACTAGGAAGAAGAATATGTGGTTCATGCTCTTGAACCACAATATATAATGAGACCTCGAGGTTAAGAAGACCAGTTTGTACGTTTATATTAACCTACAAATTCTTATAGTCTTGTACTTACCTATTAGTTTCATGAAATTGTTTAAATATATTAATTAGGTAATCTTGTTTGTGTAGGTTAGTGCAGTTCAGGCATCTACAATCATGTTAACATAGGCACTTATACTTAGACAAAAGTGGAATCTTGAAGTGTATAATCGTGTTAACAACGCGTTTGAAACATTGTCTAAGTTTGTGCGTGTAGATATGGATGACATAGAAGCCAGGATGAAAAATTCACAACGTGAATATCATGACAAAGGTGTACTTGATGAAGTCGGACATGATGGAGTGGGTGAAAGTAGTCGGGCGGTAGAAGACCTAGTTTCATCCACACAACTAGCAGTTGAGGAACACAGAAGATATAACACACGAAAGAAACAGTATCAGCCTAAGAGAAGACGATCAGTGTAATGGGGTATTGACCCTTGTAATTTTGTTCATTTTGAACGTATTGGAACATTTAATTTGTTTATTTTGAGTGATGTAATGTATTGGTCATTTTGACCCACCTAATTTGTTTAATGAATGTTGTTAAGTACAATTTGGTTAAGTCTTTCTACTTTCTTACTTGCGATGTTCAAATGATCTTATATGAGGTGCCGATGTTATAATAATGTGTAAAGATAGAAACAATAACAATGTTTAACGTGACGGAGTTGTAAAATATTATTTAGTGGCTATTGGTTGAGTTACTAATTTGCGTATTAGTTCAAAATTAATAGCCATCCTAGTGATGGTCCTCCCTAGTTCTCACTAAAATTTGCTGCTAAATTAATCTCTTTGCTACTTTCTCGAGTCGATTTAAAAAGGTATGTTTAAGTGACCAGTGAGACCAGCTGATACTTCACATGTATTAGTGACCAGTGACATTGAGACCAAAACTTCATAATGACCATTGAGACCAACTGGTCCTTCACATGTATAAGTGATCAGTGACATTTTTGAATGTACAACATCCGAAAACTTGTGTCACAATTTCTGATGTTGGACATCCGAAATTATTTTCGGATGTACAACATTCGAAAAGTTGATATTTTCGGATGTTTATATCCGAAAATATCACAATTTTGGATGTTGGACATCTGAAATTATCTTTGGATGTACAACATCCGAAACTTGATATTTCCGGATGTTGTACATTGAAAATTATCACTGTGAACATCCAGGGTCACAATCACAATTTCAGATGTTGTACGTCTAAAAATGTCACAATTTCGGATGTTGGACATCCAAAATTATTTTCGGATGTACAACATCCTAACACTTGATATTTTGAGATGTTCAATATTCGAAAATGACAGTCCTTGGATGTTCGCTACTTTTAGTAGCATCCGAAACAATTTTCTTTATCTCACTGCTTTTGACCACATATATGTCATTGCTTTATCAACTTATTAGTAGCATATGAACTATCAATTATGTTATTAATATCAATCAATTATGCTATTAACTCAAATTGTGAAATGATGAAGCTGACGCACAATTGCAATTCCAGTAGTCGTGTTGCTATGAATGTTCCGCATTTCTCATCTATATGCAACTATTTTATTTTTGAATGAAGCTTTTACAAATTAACATAGCCTATTTGAAATAAAAAATAGCTTTTAATAGGGGCTACAAAGTCTCCATTTCAAGATTTATGACAACACAAAAGTACAACAAGTGCAGCAACACAATATTAAAAATATTAACATCAAGTAATTCACTCTATCGGTTCTCATGTCCTCCTATTATGACTCACTGCGATGCATCGTTTGCACTTCAAAGGCCTGGTGATCGGATGTTTCGTCTCAAATATTCTTCATTGGTTTTTTGGCCTATAGGGAAGGCGTGTTATCCTTGGTGGCAACACTGTCAGGTTGTAAATATCTATCAACTAAATATCATCCGGGACATGTGCAAAAGGAGTTTCAAATGCCCTTTTAAAGTATTCCACTTTGAAATACCTAAGGCAGTACAGAGTAAGATCCAAATGTATGTGGTTAATGGCCACAATGGCATGGGCACACGGAATGCCACTGAGTTGCCATTTTCTACAACTGTATGTCCAATGCGTTAAATCGACTTCGTACTTCTTATTAAGATAATGGATCTCAAACTGCGTGTTCATGGCGGATATAATTGTGTGAAAAAATCGAGCTTCTTCTTTTGCAGGTCAAGTAATTCTTGAGCCTTCGGTACTAGCATGCCGCTCCAAGTATTACCTAACTCTATTTTTTATTCAAACCTGGTCATCAACTATACCCTTTTTTCTTCACACATTGTAATGATCGGCTTTTCTCAAGCAGATAAAATCCAAGCATTGAAAGACTCGGCCATATTTGAGGTAAGATGACTGTATCTACTTTAGGTCGGCAACTATACCCTTATTTCTTAATCCACTCATATACTTCTGGTCGGCACACTGTATATCAAACATTATTTTTTCAAACCCACCAATGGTCGCTTTACGGGTAAACAACATCAGCAATACTTCAGCATTTGCTAACTTCTTCATAAAGCCCTTGAAGTTCTCTCCCATATGTTGCATGCAGAATGATGGAAAACATGTAGGAAAGTATTTTTCTATTGCTTCTGACATGCTTTTTTGTCAATCTGATATAATGGTTAAGGCAGACAGATTATGATACACAGTCAATAGTTCACTCAATATACTTAAGAACCAATATCAACTCTAGTAGTTCTCTTTCTCAACCACTGTAAATGTCAATGAGAGGAGCCTATTATTTGCATCTACGGATCTTCTCAATATATAGGGGGAGGTCATGGTATTGTTGTTCATGTGATCCATCTATCATCTCTGTAGTAACTTGTTTTCCCCGTCAAGCTTGCATGTAGGAAAGCCTGACCCCGTGATCATGTTGAACATCCTTTAGAATATGTTTTGCTTTAATTTTTGGTTGGTCAAGAAAGCGGCATATAATCCTTTTTGCCAACCAATCACTATGAACTAGTGGCTGATGGACCCTCCCTATTGGACCACTACATGTGTGCTCTTTAACCATAGAATTCACTTTAAAGTATGTGGTACTGCCAACTCGTAAGCACAGCACTTGCTATGTGCATCCTTTTGCCTTGCAACTTTCCCACACCCATCTTAATTCACTTTTGTCAAACTTTAGAACAAAATTGCTGTGGATTGCAAAATCAACTAGATGACGCCGGCATTCATTAACTTTTTCAAAAAATTACCTAACACTCAATTGAACCTCGTTACCAACTCCTCTACGTGGACTCTCTAGTGGTTCAATATCCTCCATATCATGCTCTGGTACGAGCTCAGGGTTGGGCGTCACTTGAATGTTTTGATCTTATTAAGGTAAAACGTTACGCCGACTGTTGACAAAAGATAGAGTGTAAGATGAAGCAACAATTTCTGCACATATAAGATTAAAATAAAGCAATTTACAGATAAAAAAATAAATTATAGATCTACCCATTCTTTGAAGATGGGTCCTTAACAACAGATTCCTATTGTGGCTCCATTGTAGCGGCAATATATATTATAATTCTCGAAGATTCCCCTCCCAACATAAAAGATACATCTATATCATCACTTACATCAATCAAATCAAGTCCACTAGATAGACTTGTGTTGTGGTACATAATCGTTAATTGGCTTGGATCACACTTGGTTAAATTTCCAAAATGACATTTTAGTTCCTCCAAGGAACTATTCCCATTATACTTGGTGACTTCAATTTTCCTCATTTATAAATAACACATCCGTCAACTGCATTCGTCTCAAATGACCTCCCATATGGGAATACCAGTTGTACTCCCTCAGTAGCCATTGTCAGTACTACTATATTAAATAAATAGCAAAATTTGTGTTACAAAAAATCAATACAAAAAAATTACAAAAAATTGGGATATTTCTAACTACTTTAGGGTTCATAAAATCTGAGTATTACATAATAGATTGAAATAGTGACTACTAAAATTGTGACTAATAAACATTAAACAAAAGAAAACAATAAATACTCACATAAACACAAAATAAACAACAAATTTTAGTACAGACAAACAAGTTTAACAATCATTTAGGCAAAACAAATAATACAATGTATCAACATTATACAAACAATAAATAATTATATAAAACAAACAACTTCGTCAATATAAGACAAATTTCATTTATTAATGAAAAATACAGAACAAATATGAATAACAAAATGGAGTATCTTATAAAATAACCGATAATAAACATATATTAATCAACAGTATAAGGCAAGAGTAAGAACGATACCAATCACGTTCAAATAGTGAGTCAATTTCTTCAAGTTTGTGGATTACTGTATTAGGGGACATTATTAGGGGACAGTAAAGAGAGTGTATGATGCGTTTTTTCCAACTTTATAAAAAGAAAATAAATAACTTTTCTCCAGCAAGCGGGAAAACTTGGCGCGAAAAATTTTGGATGTTCAACATCCGAAAATCCAAAAAATTCGAATGTTGTATATCCGAAAATAGGAAAATACACTGTTGGAGCTATATCTATTTTAGAAATTCGGATGTTGAATATTCGAAAAGAGGCAAACTTGTCTTTTTAAAAAATAGTATTATAAAAGATAAAAAAATGGACACTTTTACAATAATGAAAACTATTTGATGTAACTCTAATAATACAAAACATAACGAACTTCTACGTAAATTTTTCTTGTTTATTTAATAATATTTAGTATTCGTGGAAAAAAAAAAAACTAAAACCTTGTAGAAACCACACGCAAATATGACAGTTTCTGATAAGGTAATTTACGAGGGATACTGGCGACAAATTTTAATAAAAAATGTGTCACAACTTGGATCGCGAAAGGAAAATTTGGTTCGGCGATATTCCAGAGCCTTCCACGCGGCCTCTACCACTTTTCCAGACTCTTCTTCTTCAAGTTCAAAGTTCAAAGTTCAAAGTTCAAACCGCAACTGACGAAGTGGAGAGCCAATGGGAAAGCCAGAAACCTCTAATCTTGAGAGGGAGAATTAGCGTCAAGAGAGCCGGAGAGTGCAAAAACATCAGAGAGAGAGAGAGAGAGAGAGAGTTGGTGTGTGTCCCTTCTTCAAGAAACACTTCCTCACTCGAACAAAGGAACTAGTGGAGTGATCACAATTACTGGAACGAAAGGAAGAGAAAGCCATGATTGTAAGGGCGGCGAAGCTCGGTAGGGCCGTCTATGGCGCGGGAAAATTGCTGGGGAATTCTCCTGCGACTTTCAGACTCAGGGGCTCTGAAACATGGGTTAGAAGCGTTTCATCATCACAGGGCTTGTTAATCAATCGAGAGGTTTGGGTGTTGCCGGAAAATGGTTACTCACTGGCGGAGGTCGCCGGATTCCGGCCTTTTTTAGGCGGAAAGATGATGGGGTTTGGGTATAGGCAGTTTCATTCCTCAAGTCCTCATTACATGGCAGAGAGCGCCTCTCAGGTTTTTCTCTCTCTAAATATCTGTTATTTTCTCAATGTCAAAAACTTTCTGTTTCTTAACTTTACTTTTTTGTGGATTCAATCTGAATAATCATCATCCTGATGAACCAATTCAAATGGTTGCATTTCTGTCGTAGCTGAAATGTGTTCGATGGTTTGCGTGGTTTAAATTGGAGATGCCTTGCAAAAGTTAGGTATATTTGAATTGGGTTCAAAATGCATTATGGTGGCAAATTCACTTCTCGAGCTAGAAGCTGGTCAATTGATTTAATTGTTATCATTATTATCTGAATAGTATACAATGGTGAAGCCATCCATAAGTCGTGACATATAATCTCGTTGAGGATACTTATTTTGTTTGGGTTAACATTGTTGGGATTGGTGGGTGAGACGGGGCAATAAAATGAGAGTGAAAAAAATAAAAAAAAAATAAAAAGTAAGAAAAGAAGAATTCTTCAGAACCAACGTAGGAATTAGTGAATTAAATTACAATCTTACTGTTTCTGGCCACGAATAGATCACTTTCACAAGACAATATTTGCCTCCTATTGATAAACAATGTGCATCTAAGTTTTACCAGGTAAATTTGTCTTGGGATACTTATGAAACTATCATGGCTGATACAAATGCACTAAGTATTGCAATATCTAAAGCACAAGATTAACCCCTTTCCTAGAGAGAGAAAGTCACACGAGTTGTAAAAACATTAATATACAAAGTCATATAATGGGTTCTTATTTATATAGAGAGACAAATTGTCTTTTCATCTCCACCTAATGTGACTTTTCAATGCACCTGATAGATGTAGAGTTGTCAGTTGTACCTCTTTGGTCGACCATTAAAGCAATTCATCTATTGCAACTGGTATGCAAATATGGATTCATGGTATCACTTCAGGTTCCAAAGACCCGGCATTATATTCAAACTAACATGCCATAAACACCACCAGTTGGGACAGGGATAAAACAGTAATATCTATTCCTCTCCGTAGTGATGGAAGAGGCAATATTGTATGGTATATATAATTATGTCTTTTCAGCAGTGGTACCAAATTATCGGCACTAGACTATGCAACTATCCCTTTCCTTACCATTGGCAATGCCCATAGCAGTGAAAAGGTATCGAGCCTCAGGCCCGACCCATACTCATGTGTGTTACATGCTTCACGTGTTAGAACACAAGTGAATAGGATATACTCATATTTAAGGATGATTGACCCTATTCTCCAATGTGGGATAAATAACCCAATACATCTCTCTCTAGGAAGAAAACAAAAAAACACTTCCCAAAGTACCAAAGGTTAAAAAAGATATTATTTTGAAATAACTTCTGGTATTTCTCATAGAAAAAGGCAATAATTTCCTCCATTTATTTCAAAATAATATGAAAACATTAGGTAACAATATGACATTTGCATACCATGAAGGTATCTTTGGATTTGAACATTCACTTAGTGTAAGCACCCAAAGTACATCAAGCTCACTAGTAGCATATAGCTTTAAACCAAGGATCTTACACCACATACCTATGGCACAACACACAAATGATAGAAAACTCAAATATCTTTTACTGCCAGCTCATTATCAGCCTTGAGCTTATATCTCGATTTCATAAGCACTCCAGAGACAAGTCCAATGTCATAAGAAGCGGCCTCACTTCCACACTTATATAAGTAATTCTATCAAGGGTGCCCCTATATATAACGTACCCTGATTGATATAATTATAGCCATCATTAAGAGCATAGCTGAACTTTCTTTGACACAGGTCATTACTGAACTTATCGACTAGATGGATCTCTCTATAATGGGTGCAGATGACATATTTAATCATGTCTAGTGATTCAACTAACCACAAGAACGACTTGTGATTAGCATACTGAATTAGAGCTCTTAAGGTAACAAAAGACTAGATGGATTCTCATCATTGAGGATTACTATATGGACTCTAACCTCATTCCTCTCGGTAACTCTATTTTGCTGCAATGTGTTTACACATGTTAGTTGCCACTTTATTCTACGTGCCTTGAAGCATGCATTTCTACTTGACATCTTATTGATGTATTCCCTTGTGAGGCCTTTTGTCAAAGGATAAGCCAGATTCTTCTATTCACACATTCTAGACTTATCACTCCGTCATTTATTAATATTTGTATCAAGCAAGGTTTTAAAATTCGACAATTAGGATCGGAATCGCTCGATCCGGATTGGAAATCGTTTTGGGCGAACTGGATCCCGTACTATATTGAGATCCGGCTATGTCCCTCCTAAATCGGCATGTTCAGGCCGGTCCATATAGAATCGGAGTCTATACCAGTTTTTTGTTTTTTCTTTTCGAGAATTTATTTTCTTTTTTTTTCAAGAATTTATTCCTTTAAAAAACACGTCACGTGGTACCATACAACACTATTTTGCACCTGAAATATGCAGACAAATGTATACATGCGGGCCCATGTACATGGCCAAAGTTCACCTCCTGCATGAGCACTTCAATTGAGTTGTACTATGCGGTTCTAAACTTTTATACTTTGGTTTCATCCCACTATCTATCGATGCGGGATATCTCTTTTTGCAGTGGCAATAGACAACTAGAATCTTTCTCTCTCTCTCTCTCTCTGTCGTCTACTACTAGAGTACGTTACTACTACTCTCTTCTCTCTCTCTCTCTCTCTCTCTCTCTCTCTCTCTCTCTCTCTCTCTTATACAAGGAAAGTATCATCTATAAAATAAAGGGTGTGGTTTGTATAAGGCCGAGGCGCTAAACAATCAAAGTAAGGTACACCTTCAAATACTGTCGAAAGATGTTGTTTCAATCCAGGAAATCTTTTTGATGGCCTGAAAATTTATTTTAATATCTAATTATAAAATTTAAAACTTTAAAAGTAGTATTGCGCAGATCTATGAATGCTCGAAAACCTTGAAAATTGACTGTCCAAAAATGCATTACAAGATGCACTATTTTTAAGACTTGAAATCTTTTTTTTCTCATGTCCATACATCTTGAGGTCGAGATGATGAATTTGAGGATTTTTGGGCTTCAAAACAACCTCTTTTTGTGAATTTTTGAGGTGCACCCTAAATTGATTGTTTAGAGCCGTGCTCTTATATAAACTTTTTCCTAAAATAAATGGTCTACAAAATAATTTTTGTTAGATTAATTATAGTCATTTTTCTTTTTTATAATTTACAAGGAATAAAGTGCATATAAGTAAGTTTGACTTACATATAACCAAAAAATTACATATAATAAACTTACAAGAATTGATATGATTATATGAAGTTGTGGTTGTTTATTTATGTTAATAACTTAATATAATTATGTTAAACTTATATTAGTATAATTATGTGAATAGGATCACATTAAAATGACATTAATCTTATTACGTTGAATGAGTATAATTATGTAAAAATTGTTAACTTATTTTCTATAATTATGTTAAAATTGTTATTGCTAAATTGAATTTTTTATTGTTCTAAAATACATTAAAACATCACATAATTTAGTATATTGAATTTCTACGTTATTTAATAAATCATTGTTAAATGGGTTATGTTATTTTCATATTTAGTATAGATTGTAATTTTAATTAATGTATGTATAACTTTTACAAATATTAACATATAACTTATTGTTAATTTGTTATTATTATAATGACTTATTTTACGTAGAAATAAAATTTTAATATAATTTTAAATTGTATCAAGTTATTATATAGAATAATGAAACATGTTCTCAGTATTTCTATATTTTTCATACAAACAATGAAAAACCATGATGTAATGAAGCATGTTCTCAGTATTTTTATATTTGTTTATACAATGATGAAAAACCATGATGCAATTACAACTATTTTTTTTGAAAAAAATCTAAGAAACTAGAGTTTTAAGAAATTATAGTGATTTTTTGAAATTGTTTTAGGTCAAAACCCTCGATTCGGCCGATTCTCTAATTAGGATCGCCGATCCACTGATCCGACACGATTTTTGGGGTGGCCAACCCGAGTCGCCCATCTGTTTTTTTAAACTTTGGTATGAAGCCATGTGTGCATGCAATGTTTCTAAACTTGTCACTATAAATATCATTACGTGCTCGAGCAATTTTAGCATGATCGTCACAATTGTGATTGCCTGTATTGGTTTGGGTCAAATTGGGATATCATGAGGCAAGTTTCTCAACCATTTATCTTCTTTACAAGTATAATCTAATGCAATAAATTCTGACTCCATAGTTAAACGAGAAATGCATGTTTGCTTCTCTGAACCACATGATACCGCTCGACTTGAGAAGGTGAAAACATATCAGGATGTGGATAGTGAATCTTTGAGTTTTGTGCTCTAATGGGCATCACTATATCCTTCCAACACTCTGGATGCCAAAATTAATATTTCCTTTGAGAGTTCTTAAAAACTTTAAGAGATTAATATTTCCTTTGAGAGTTCTTAAAATCTTTAAGAGATTAATATTTCCTTTGAGAGTTCTTAAAAACTTTAAGAGATTACATCCTAATGCTCTCTACATGGGCAACTAGTAAATCTACTAAGTTTACCCATTGCCTATGCAATATTTGGTCTTGTATAGCTTGCTGCAAACATAGAGGGCCATAACCCGGCGCTGGTACTGCCTAAGCAAGGTCCCGGGAGGGGTGGGCTGGAAACGGTCCTAACCTTTGACTTATGCACAAAGTGGCCGCTCTCAGGACTCGAACCCGCGCTCTTGCGCTGGCTACCTGAACCTTTTCCCGTCACACCAAGTGACGGCCCCTAGCTTTCTGCATACATCAAATTACCAATTACTTTTGAATACTTAATTTGAGAAATACATCTCCCTTAATTTTTTATTAACTCTATATGAGGATCCGTTAGTGTGAGTGTTGGTTTACAAGCACCATAATCAAACTTATAGAGCATCTTTTCGATATGGTGAGAAGGGGTGAAAACCAAAACATCATCCTTTCTCACTATTTTAATACCTAATTTCTCATATCCACTCTCGGGTCTCTCATATCAAAGTTAGATCCAAGGATCCTTTTGGTTTCCTCCACTATTCCAAGTTACCATCAAATATTAGCATATGGTTCACTCCTTAAGAAAGCAATTTTCACATCCATTTGATATATGATTGGATGGTTTACCGCAGCAAGAGCAAGTAATATTTGTATAGTAGATATCATTGCTACAGTAGCATATGTGTCAAAATAGTTTATACCTTCCTTTTGTTTAAAACCTTTGGCAACTAGCTTGGCCTTATACTTGTTAATGGACCTCTTAGCATATTTCCTTTTAAAAATGCATTTACCTCCAATAGATTTAGAACTGGGGCAAGTTTATTAACTTTCAAGTTTTCTTAGCAAGAACGGAGTCCATCTCACTATTTACGGCCTTTCCCCAAATACAACATCATGGGATGCTAATGCTTTACTTAATGAGGAAAGGTCTTCCTCCACTATCTATGCCATTAGTATTGCACTAAACACCTTATTATGGCTGGTCTCCACTAAATGGATATAAAAATCAGGGATCTTTCCCGCTCTCTTACTTTTCCTCAGTTATACAACCTCTTCAATAGATTCACTACAAATTCTTGTTCATCTCTTCTTAGAAGGGGACTAACATTGTCTATTTCACTTTTGCTAGTTAAATTCTCAAAGAATTATGCTTCTCTTGATTTGGTTATCACCTTAGAAACTTTGTTCTAGAAATTGGTATGCCATACTATTTTGTGCATAACCAATAAAAGCACATCCAAAGGTTTGGGGTCTCAATTTATTTTGTTTTAAATCTGGAAATCTTACGTATGATAAACAACCCCACTCTTTGATTTGTAGGATTCCCAAGAAATTCTTTGAACTCACATTTAGTTTCCTATTGAATTGCAACTTGTAAGGTGTCTTTTCACTTCCTTATATAGGGTATACGATTTCGTATGAAACACAGAGAAAGTAAAACCTCACCCCACAAAGACAAATACAATCTGGGATTGATGATCATGGCATTGACCATCTTTACCAATATCTGGTTCTTTTTCTCTTGTAAGACAAGTACCTCTTTCCTCTATTGAAGACATTATTTAAATTCCTAATATTGCTATGGACAAGCCCTAATAATTCGGGATTCCTTTCCACTGAATGACAAGGTGTTCTTGTTAATTTGGAAGCAGTTAACTCTTTTAATAAAAAGAAAAAATCTTGTACACATGCTTTATATTTTCCATCAAATATATCACCACATTCATGGATTGGGCCTAATTTAAACATGGTTTTGATAGAAGAAAAATTCAAGTGTCCTAATCATGCCATAAATCGCACATATTCTCATAAATCGCACATATTCATGAGATATGTGGAAGAATTCTTTATTTTATTATTCAAATCAAGTTTAAACATCTGATTACAAGAGAACCTTTTGCCAACAAACACACCTCTTTTGGTCAAAATGACCAAATTACACCCCTGAAACCCCGTTTATTCAACAAGTAGCTTGACACTAGTCTTCTCCTCATATCCAACGTATAAATCACATTCTCTGAAGTGTGAACTTTACCCGAACTAAATTTCAGGTCCTCCGTGCCTTCACCAAACATCTTGGCCAAGGCTTGGGTTCCCAATTGGACTAGTTTTCATCCTGTACCGGTTCACAGATCCTCAAATAGTCTTGTCTGTTACAAACATGTACCGTAGCATCTATGTCTATGTACCAACCAGACTCATTTTCAATTTAATTGACCACATGATCATAGCCACAAACATTTGTTTTTTGCTGGTTAAGTTTGCTTGGTTTTTGGGGCTTTTGAACTCTCTTCCAGTGTCGATATTCTTTAAAGTAGTGTCCGGGTTGGCCACAAATGTAGCGATTGCCTTTCTTTTTAGGCTTCTTATCATTAGAGATATCTTTTGCAGCTTGGGAAAGAAGGACTTCTTGCCTTAAGCCTTGTCCCTAGACTTGTAGTATACAAGGTTTGTCTTAGACTGAAATTTCCTTGCCAACTGAGTTTCCATGGCTACATCGAACTCTCTTCCAGAGTCGATATTCTTTAAAGTAGTGTCCTGGTTGGCCACAAATGTAGCGATTGCCTTTCTTTTTAGGCTTCTTATCATTAGAGATATCTTTTTGCAGCTTGGGAAAGAAGGACTTCTTGCCTTAAGCCTTGTCCCTAGACTTGTAGTATACGAGGTTTGTCTTAGACTGAAATTTCCTTGCCAACTGAGTTTCCATGGCTACATCTTTCATTTAACAAAGCCTTTGCACTTCTTTAATTTGAAGAGAACGTTGAAGTTGAACAAGGTTAATGTCAACCTTCGTATGTTTCATCGTTTTTTGGTACTCTATTCTAGGGGTAACTTATAAATTATAGCTCCCACTTGCAAAGCTTCATTCAACTCAATTCCGCTACCTTAGGTTCGATAGCTATAGCTCATCTGCTTGACTGAATATACTTGAAACGCTTCATCCAACTAGGTTCACTTAGGCTTTTAGGATTACTTATGATGAGCTGCAACTCATACACTTGACTGAGTATAGGCTTATTGTTAATGAATTTAAAGTCAAGATAATTGGAAATCAAAAACCTTTGGTTACGTGACTCCTTATTGTTCTATTTGTTCTCCAATTTGTTCCATGCTTCTTTCACCCTTGATAATGAAACATAAATGCCATATGATATATTGTTAAAACTTTTGAGGATGTGTCCTTTGCATATGAAGTCATCCGCCATCCACTTTGGCTGAATTGACTTCTCGTTTCGAAGATAAATTTTTTCCTCGCTCTCTCCTTAAGCTAGTTGTGGCACATCAGGCATAGCATCAGTGCGAATAGAGGCCACCTTAAGCGTGGTCGACAAAAAATAAGAGCTTTTGTTGCCGCCTTCTGAAGTTCGACCATCAAAGCAATCGATGTTCATCACGTTACTCCATTTCTCACCTGAAATATTGTCTTTTAATGTTGGGATAAAATGAGACTTACATTAAAAAAATTTCTTGAGAACCCAAGGTAGGAATTACAATCTTACTGTTTCCATGCACGAATTATTGATATAAATTAATGTGTGTATATGTTTTACCAGGCAAATTTGTTCTCGGGATACAAAGAATAAAGGGTTAATGAAACTATCTTGCCCGTACAAATGCACAAGTAATGCAAGATCTAAAGCATCAAGTTGCCTCTTTTCTAAAGAAAAGTCACACAAGTCGTAAAAATGATAGTATACAAGTTACAAAATGGGTTCTTGTTTATAGAGAGAGTGTGATGCACCTGATAGATGAGAAGTTGTAACTCTTTGATCCTTGATCACTATCATTAAAACGATCCACCAATTGCAGCTGACATGCAATCAGATAGCCAACAATCACATGGCTCATGGTGTGTCTTTGGGTTAAAAAACCCGTCGTCATGTTCTAAGTAACACACTATAAACACTGTCGGTGGCCGTAGGGGGCAAATAGTTGTATAATCATGCCTTTCAATGGTGGCAACAAATTACTGGCACCAAATTACCGCAACTGCCTTTGCCTTACAGCTGACAATGCTCATAGCGGTAAAAAGGTATCGAACCTCGAGCTTGACCAGTCATGTGCACATTCGCATGTCAGCATGTGCATTGCACGCTTTGCGTGTTCCACGTAGCAGCATGGGCTGTCTCTCCCTTTGCTTCTTAGAACACTAGTGAAGAGGATAAACTCATATTTAAAGATTACTTTCCTTACCCCATTCTCCAATGTGGGACAAATAACCTACTGCATCTCTCTACAAACAAGACCAAAATAGTCTTTAGTTCAAAAAAGATATTATTTTGAAATAATTTCTAGTATTTTCCATGGTGAAATACAACAAATATGCCACACTTTATATGTGTTTTCGTATTTCATTGGTGTTGTTAAGCTGTTACGTTATTGTTATGCTTGTCCACTACCCAAACATGATCTTGAATACTTGGAAGAACTTATCATTTGTTTGAAAAATTAGGCGTTTGTTTCGTATGAGTGATTGCTTTGTAGAAGTATATTCTCCTTAGTGGATAAGATTGCATATTTTGCGCCAGCCTCAGCATGGAAGATGCATAATTTTTGTCATTCTTGGTGCGTGGTTTTAGGATTGACTTTGTTGTTATCAGATAAACCAATCAGAGTTCACTGAGATGGCTTGGGAAGGGCTTATTGATGCAGTAGAGGCAGCACGCCAGAACAAGCAACAAATTGTGGAATCTGAGCATTTGATGAAGGCTATTTTGGAGCAAAAGGATGGCTTGGCCAGAAGAATATTTACTAAAGCTGGCATCGATAATACATCGGTGTTGCAAGCTACAGATCAGTTTATTTACCAGCAACCGAAGGTGTGATACTATCAAGGAAAAGTATACCACAAGAAACCAGTGTCCATTGGGTCCTTACCATCCAATAAAACGATGGATAGTGACGGCGTTGAGAGTGGAACTACCATGGGCTCATTCCTGTTTTGATCTCTCTCTCTCTC